ATGGGGCTTCTGCAAAGTGAACAAGAAATCTTTAATCTCTTGTCCATAACAGTATATTTAACAACATTGGTATCAACTGCCAGTGACTGAGAATCATTCATCTTACTGGATTTGTGTTCAGCAGAACAAGCCTCAAAACCAAATTCAATCCTGCGACTAGAATCTCTGAATATCTCTAAGTTCCTCTTAAAACTTGAACATCCTGCCACCTGGGCATCGGGTGTATCAGATAGTTCACCATCAGAAACATCAATTACAGGGGAAACCATGGTCTTCCTCCTTTTCTGTGTATGAGAACTCACACTCAGGTTATAAGAAGATTCTGTTCCTGGTATCAAGCTGCAAGTGTTCTCAGTGAAATCCTTTTGAGGAGTGACTGTTATCACAGACTCATCTCTAGAAGGATCTTTGTCCAGGCTAGTTGAAGCCACTGGACAAAATAAAAATTGATTTGGAGATTCGGTAGATGACTGCGTTATGTGTGAACTTGAGTTTCCATTCTTGGATAAGGAAGCTGGACTGGTTGAAGACACACCACCGTCCACACTAGGTGTTTCCCTCACCATCGATATTTCTGGATCTTCACTAGAGAATGTTGTGGGCAAAGTACCCAAGCACCTGCGATATTATGACTCAGAATCCAGGTTTCTCTAGCAGAGTAATTGAAATTACAGACAGTGGGAAAAAATTTAAGCAAAACCAACAGTGTACCATATGTAGAAGAATTAATTTCAAAATCAGAAACTCAGAAGCAAGTTACATAGCCTCAACAGTAGAATCCAGAAGGATAAAGCTAGAACCTATTATGGCACTTGCTACATGACAGCCACAAATAATTATGTTCTTTCATTTTTATTACAGGTAGTGAAATTTGACAAAATAGAGAACAAAAAGGTGCATTTACCTTGAATCACTAGGAAAACAACATTCGATGTCAATAGATTCTCTGCATCTATTTTTGCTCTCATCTGCTTGAACACATGCCTGAACTGCAATAGCACACTGAAGTTTTTGTTGGGGATAACAGGCATCAAATTCTTTTGCAGAATGTAGTTCATTAGAGAACTGGTTTGCTTTTGAAGTTTTCTTTTTGGTTAAACCATTGCTTTGTTTTGTAGAAGATATATTTTCCATGTCAGAATTGCTTATGTTACCAGCCCTATCTTTGCCAACCTGATTCTGCAAGCAAGTGCAGGCAGAGAAAATAATCTTAGTTATATCATTCAGCCACAGTTTGCGTGTACAAAAATAAGGTGTCCACACAAAATTAAAGAAAAGGACGAGGAAGAACTTATATAGGACCTTACCTTAACTCCTCCGAAAAAGGATCTTAGTCCCTCAAGTGACTTGTCAAAACTTTCATACTGTCTGATGGATTTCCTTAGCCACTTTGAAATGTATACCCTATTCCTTTCTTCTTGAAAACGTGTATCTGGATTATCAAAAATAGTATCATCCAAATAATAACTAATTCAGTTTTACTTTGACCTTGCTGCTATTTATGAGATTAATAATAGTGCCTCTGGATGGCCTTTGCCTTAAATTTTCCTTATTTCAGAGTTAAGAAGACAGTATCATTTCCCCACATGTGTGTGTGTATGTGTATATTCTTTTTACTTAAGACTTGACTGAATGTTGAAAGCCAGTTTCCAATGAAATGAACGAAAATAATTCTTCCCACATTCACAAGCTATTTGGGTAAATGTTTAAAAATAATTTTAAAAAACTTAAATTGCTATGAAATTGAATGGTTATTGACACGTTGGTCCTTATGTTACAGCATAAAACTTCTTCCATAATTCAACCTTTAGAACCTATTTCAAACTAAATTAGCAACTTATCAATTGTAACTTATATGAACTTCTAAAATTTGCATGTAGATTCATCTAATAGAATGCCACATTGATATCCAAATTCAAAACAATTACCTAGTAGGATGATTGCTCCATAATCATTTCTATGCCGAATACAACGGCCTGCATAGAGTGAAAGGCAATTAGCAATATAATGCAATATATTAACCTAAAATGAAGAAGATTAAATAACACTGAAGAGAAGTAATTAAAATTCATTGTATAATAAAAAGTCTTAGACATTGTAGCTTATACTAACAAATCACCTAGAAACGTACCCAAACATTGAAATGAATGCATGATTTGGAAATTTAGTGGGCATACCAATAGCTTGATTTAGGGCACGAAAAGCCTGTTGGCAGTACCACTGACTCCCATTCAAGAGGTTTTTGGATGATCTATATGTATCATTGTATCTCTTCTTTAGTTCAACCTGAATATCATTTCTGTAAAATTTAAATGAGTCAGTGACAGAGAATATATGCATATATATTTATTTGAAAAGCTTCCTCAGCAGTTAGAAGTACATACATGTTTGGGAATGGAATGCCAACGACTATCTGAGATGGTCAAGAACTTACAATCTATAGTCAGCAGTCATATCTATTAGAAATACATTTAATGCTTCTTAAATAACCAAAAAAAAAAAAACATTTGTTTGCAAACAAAACTAAAACTGGATGGTCATAGATGAAAAAGACTAACAGGAAGCTATGATGACTATGATAAATAAATGTCAGGTGGGGCAATTCCCAAGCCTCTTTGGCTGGCTTCCCTGCAAAGTAGCATGGAACCCTCATGAATTGCTGAAATAAATTTGAGGGTCCTACACATATATTGCATGGAAGCTACAGAGTTTGCTGCTCTCGTACCATTGCCCAAAATGTCTTGCAATGTTTCCTCTAAGGCAAAAAGTCTCCAAGACCTGAGTCACCTGACTAGAACAGAACAAAATCTAGTACTGAAATGTCAAGGACAGCAAAAGGATACAACCACTCTAGCATTATCATCAGAAAAATCAATGCCTTCTGACACCTGCAAGAAAATACAGAGTTATGTAAAATGGGTCAATGCTTAGTTTAAGCTTTTAGGTTGTTAACATGATAGACAACATCATTTTACTTGTAGATCAGGACACAATAGCTTGCAAGTATAGAATGCACATAAAACTTCATGGCAGATGTGGAGTAGTGATCACTACTCAAGTTCTAGAAATACTGGTTGTGCTATTCAGTTTTACAAAAGATAGCTTTCTGGAACTTCACTTTAAATATGCTACAATTTAAACACTACGAAAAAGTAGTCTCTCGTTGATCAGAAACAAAATAAAATTAATATTCTTTCTTGAGTAATTTAAGAGAGTTGCATACTTTTCCTCGACACACTGCAAGAAGAGCAGCTCCGTTCTTTGAAATTTCTGATGACACAATAGCATTACTATCTGTTGCCTTAACCCTTTTTTTTCTCCCATTTGGAGGCTTGCTTTGTCCACAAACAGAGTCATAGTAACCCTTTAAAGTAGTTTCAAACTCTTCTTGGTTTCCCCCTCGTGGCTCTGCAAGAAACAATTCCAAAATTAGAATCTCAATTGTATAAGAGATTACTATGAACAAGACAGGGTGAACCTGTCATATAAACAAACATCATCTTTCCTAAATCTACAAAGGATTAACCATCTGCAAACAAGAATTGAAATTTAAACAATGATTTGGAATGGATATTATTAACTCAAGATATTCTCAACCACACTTGTCTGGAAAGGGCTGTAAAACTGTCTCACCAACAAAAAGGGTCTTTCTCATGTTAAGTCGTGACCATTGGCCTGTTTCACGCCAACGATTACAAAGTTTTCCCATCAGCTTATAACTTGGGAAAAATACAAGAGAGCCACCTGGAACAATCTTGCAAATTTCTTCTAGGGATTTGCCAAGTGCATCCTTCAGATGAAAAAGGCGATAATAAAAAATATATTTAGTTTTCAAATACAAGATACTATGTTATTCTTAGTCAAACAAAAAGCAAGCAAAATGATTAAAACACCTGAAATTCATATGCATCTGCTGTTTTGTAACTAGCATTCAATGGATAATTACCAGGACCATTTGAGATTACAGCAGTCCACACCTGCAGTGGAAAGGTTGAAGGCAAATGACTGAGGTGATATTGATTATAACTGGAACAAATAAGGATCCATTATAAAGCCAATGAAGCTTATACCTGTGCTTCAACATCAATTACATGTGGAGCCTCCAAACAAGTTTCAAACTGAACTCCAAGCTCAGATGAGAAAGAATTCATGGGTGACAATGTCCTAAAATATGAAAGAAATTAGTAAAATGATAAAAAGAACCAGTACATTGTCACTGACGATGAGAAAGAATAAGCACTATTCTTACCCAGATGTTAAAATGATGGACAAAGAAAGATCAGCAATGTCTCTGAACACAACAGATGGATTCATGCACCATAAACTTAAGGAACATGTCCAGTTGCTAGAACCATTTTCTGTGTACAAAATGACATTAAGAATCAGTATTGGTTTCTTTCTGATAAGAAAAGAACAAAAACCATTAAGCAACAGACATTATTCAGTGGAAGAATCAGTACTAGTTTCTTTCAGTACCATAGAAGCAACACTAGGATACTGAAAGAAACAGTTAACCACAGAGTTAAAATTTAAAACGAACAATTTGATGTTAGCTTACTATTATTATCATGCATGTCTCATTTCTCACCAACTACTTTATTGGCAAAGAGTACAATGTAACACCAACAGGTAGCAAAACCAAATAGTTCAAGCATTCACTATATATTTTTTTTTCTTGATAGAAAAAGCATTCACTATATTAGTATCGGCATGGTCTAGAAATCCATTGCAGAGCAAGCCATTGCTCTTAATTTGCTGTATTGCATTAATCTAACATCATAATCAATAAAGGATTTTCATGAACCACTTACTGCTGTCTCTTTTAACATAGCGTTGCAGAGCAAGCTGATAATCCAATATGTGAGAACCATTTCTTGAGAAGAAATATGTCAGAGATGAAAATAGTCCTGCGTGGTTTTTTTTTGAGGTAAGTCAGATTATTAAAAAATCAATGACTTAAATGATTTCCAGTTGTAGACATCATAATAGAAGATTTATACCTTCTAAAGTTATGACTGACATTCCGCTTAAATGAGGTACATCAGACTCCAAATCTGTAGCTGCTTTGATTGCCTTGAACCATTAAATTAGGTTAAGAAACAAGTAAAAGGGTCAGAATAAAGCATAAAAAAACTGTGAAAGCAAACTACCTTTGTTGCACATTCCAGCAAGATTGGGAAGCATTTCTGTGAAATGTTGGCTTCTTGGAGTTGTTTTGAAGCTTCACTACCAGTCCAACTGTAACACATGACAATATAAGAATAGAAGATAGTAAAAATCAAATGACTCCAGAGATGAACCTGGTTAGAAAAAGATGTAGATCTCATCATAAAATCTTATGTTAAAGATGTAGTTTATCCAATTATTATATATAGTAGGAAAGGAGCTTCTATTGGCACTTCACTTTTTCTGAATGCAACCAAAGCCATAATTGTAAAAGCAACAAAATGGTTGCTACAGTTTAATGTTTTTGTAAAATGAATCAGGGGAAACAAGGAAAAGAGAAAAGCAGCCATAAACAAGAAATCTAACTAAAACAAAATAGTACAAGGGGCACTAAAGACATCTTATGACTCTATGAGCTAACATATGTACATATGAGGTCGTTTCTTCTACTATCTTCCTTTTTTTTTTCTTTCCTTGAGAGGGGGGGGAAGGGGGTGGAACTGAAATCAAAAAGGTTTAATTAATTTCAAATAGAAAAGAATATCTAATTGAGTCAAACCATGATTGTATTTTTAATTTCTAACTTCAAAAAGAAAAGGAAAATTCAGCTCTGTTTGAACTTTAAATTCTTGGAATACTGATTCATGTTAGTGATTGTAATTGTCATATTCTAAAGTAAAGTAAGACAATGTAGCATGACCCAATGCTTAACACAATAAGCAGTACATCAGCTTCTACAAGTATCATGCATGGTGAAGTTGTTCAAGGCAAGGTCAGTCATTAAATTACATGGTCTTCAAAACTTATGTATTAATGAACAAAAGAAAAAAATAGACCAAGAACGAGGATACCATTTAGCTACACTATAGAGAAGGATGGTTGTAGAATGGCTGATAGCCTTATATGGATAATCAAAAAAAAAAAAAAAAAAAAAAAAAGAGAAGATCATTTGCACAACTACTTACCAGGATAAGTAGTGCTGAAATTCACGCTTTTCCAATCCATCTTTCCTCATATCCATCCATTCCACAAGCCCCTATACACCCAAAGCAGTCCTTATGTATGACGAAAATGTTATAACAATCTGTCACACAAAAGCTGCAGAGCATTTAAATGGTTACCTCTACCATTTCCCTTAGAGGTTGGTAGACCATTGCATCTATTGAGCAAAGTTGCACTAGTTCTGTCTGCAATTCTTGCATAAGGTATAAACCACTATAAGAAATGGAATGATAATGTAATGAATTGAAAGTAAAAGTTTTTGACCTACTGAGTAAGATATCTTCTTCTATGTCCACACTACCAGCATCGCGAGCAATATCCTCCATATTGCTGTAAAGGAATAAAACTCAAAAGTCAGATCTTCAAAAACCAGTTTAAGAAAATAATAATAATAATAAAATGAGGGATATACAAGACTACAACAGTGGATTCAGAATAACTTTTCAAGAAGGATACTTGAACCTTAAAATGATGTTTCCTGTTTTAAAACATGCATAATCATTTGATAAATTGCATTCTTTTGCATTCCAAACACAAACATCTCGCAAGAGTGTAACACCCAAAACTAAATACAGAAGCAAATGGTAGTTCATCAGAAAATGATATATCATAAATTTTAGCATACTGCTCATCTGGTGGAAACTATATCATCAGAACTTACAGCAGTTTGTGTAAATTTTAGGTTTAAAAAGGTGAAAAGGAAGCAAAAGCAATAAAGAATACCAAACCCCAGTCCCAGTAGTTCTCTCCTGAGTTTCAAGACCAGTTAACAAAAATTGCTAGTTATTTAAACTTTAAAAGATGATTATCACAGTTGCCAATCAAAAACTATAAAAAATATGATTTACCACACAGTTGCCAGAATTATTAAGGATAAGTAACAGCATTAGAGGATCAAAGTTTAGAAGAGAATAGAACTTTTGTACGTAAAATGCTTACAATATCAGAAAAATGGAAAAATAGATCACTTCAACCCAGCCAAACAGTAGCAGGCAAAACTGTTAGTGTAGATTCTTTTTCTCTCCACTAAAATTGATAAAGAATATGAACACATCTTCAGTTGTGTGCATTTTCAGAGCTCATAGCAAGCCAACTGAAGTTTATCACAAAAAAGTTAATGAGAAGGTTCTGATACGTACTGAGCTTCATCCAGAATTATGATGGCTCCAGTAATATTTACATCCATTGCACCCCGAACAACAGGATTGATAATGTAGCTGTATGGGCAGAAAACCAATTCCGCAAAATCTGACATAGCACGTGCTGCATAGTAAGCACAACCTGGACAGTGAAAAATTGAAACAATCAAAAGCCACATAATAACATTCAACTAGCACCGTAAATGATATGAAAACCAGAATGAACCTTTAACAATATGTCCAACTTTCAAAAGATCTTCAATATCATGGGCCTCATGACAACCTCCTTTCTGAACTGAAGGGTGGCCTTTAACTTTATGCATATTTCTGTGTGAATAAACACTTCTGGATTATGTACTCTGACTGATAAACTTTACAGAGTCCCATGTAACAAAAAACAGGTATATAACTCACTTAAATTGGAGGCATCCTTCATCTTTGTTCCTTAAAAGCAACTTGCTGGAGATTTTGAAAGATCATGCACAAAAAGTTAATGGAAATTTTGTTTGGAGGAAAGGAAATCACAGTCAGTTTGAGGTCAAAAGTTCACCATTCTTCATCGAGGTTGTCCTTTCTGTTTACAAGCGGATTTGTGCAGTACTGTTTCCGTGAAGCCTGAGAAGTGAGGACATGAAAGAAATCAGCAAAAGCCTCCAGAAGGTGGCAACCAAGTTAAGAGATTAGTACTCTATTTGAAAAGGTCAAAATCTCAGACTTGTGATACAGAACAAAATATGTAACACATCACCTTCTAAGGTTAGATTCAAGGATTCTTCTATTTAATTTTTTTAAAAATATAACATATCAATTTACGTTATGAATTCTTTGTAAGCACTTTCCTGCGTTCATCCAGACTCTTAAAAATGCATACTGCCTTCATATTTCACAAATTCTATAGGTAAACCAAGCAAATCACTGTTAGAGTTTCTCAATTATGTTCCTACCAAGTAAAAACTAGTGTTGTCACCTCAATTGTCAACACTTGATGCTTTAAATTATGAAATGCCTAACAAATCATATCAAAGGCTGAAATGCAGAACAAACAAGTAAACGCAAAACATACCAAAACTGCCATTGGCACCCGATAACTAGTTTTTTTGTATTCACGAATCACTTGGGAAATCTGTGAATGGGTCCTCCTTCAGTACATACCAAAAAAATAAAATTAAAAAGAATCAGCATCAAAGTATAAAAGCTCTTTATCAGCCTTCAGAAAGAACTAAAATGCTTAGGCCATCAGCAAGAAATCATAATAACCCCTAAATTGAATACTCTCCTCTATCCTATTCAAGTGACCTTCGCACTTTATTAACATCACAGTTAGGTAGAAAAGGTAAATCACACTAACAAAAGGACTCACGAGGCGTAATATATTGTAGGTGTCTTCGCAGTCTTGTCATTTGATTCGGACTGAGCTGCGCCTGACTTTCCTGACAGTAAAACACCTAAAAGACAGAAATCAAACGCATAATTCTCTCAAATTGGACCAGAAAAGAAAACTTAGAAATTTGGATTAAAATCCTCAATCACTATTTTTTAAACAAATTAAAGAAACAAAATTAGAATCGATCAACACGGACTTACTGGGAGACTGTGATTCAGGGATAAAACCACCGCCGTGACCAAGGGGATCGGTAAACGCCTCCGGTGCAGGTTTCGACGGCGAACAATTCTTCGATTTGTAGGACTGTTGCCAAGCGAGGGTGGAGCAAAGCAGGGACAGCGTTTTTCCGGTACCGGTGGGTGACTCGAGCAATGCATGGCAGTGACCGTCTCTCTTGGCTCGATCGAGCGTAGATATGACTCTGCACATGAATGCAAGCTGCGTCCCGTAAGGTTGGTACGGAAACTCGACTTGAATCCCGCCGATGTGGTAAACATTTTTAGGGTTTTTTGAAGTTGCAGCTGAAGACATTGTGTGTGTGGGTAACATGAAGAAGAAAAGAAAACGTTAGGGGTTTGAGATTGTTAAGGTGGGAGGAGGGATATTGCGGCGTTTAAGCGGGAAGTTTTTGGTTTGATATAGGCGGCGCGGGAAGTAGCAATTGTTTTACGTGCTGGAGATTTCAGCAGAGGCCCATGGGATCAGAGCCCAATGATTCTGGACGTCAACTCCTTATTATTAATTATTATTATTTTATTCTGTCAAGGACACAGAAAACAACTCGATTCATGAAATTCTAAGTGGAAAAGATGGGAAAATTTGAAGCAGAGGCTGAAGTTAATGAAAACTTAACTAACAGAAGTAATTCGAAATTATGCAGAGTTATCAGGAGGAACTACTTGAACTTGAGAAATAATTGGAAAAGGAAGCCACCCTGCTCATGGAAACGTACACT